CCAGCTCCAAGAACAAATTTGTTGCATTCTTCTGAACTGAATCAAAGAAACCCCTGGCAGTGAAGGACAGACATCGGCTGCACTACACACCCCACCAAGCCAGCCTGTGTCCCCTGAGCCTCACTAATGCAAGATCCAGATCCATACCCAGAGATAAAAGTCTAGACAATAGACGGCTGTTTATGACAACGAGGCTCTCCAAGTTTGGGGCCGGGTGATAAATCTCTAGCGAATCTTCCTGTAACTCAACTTCTCGTTGAAGTGACGAGAGAACCACAGAGACCGCAGAGGAGAGAAGCAAAATGGGGGATACTTAAATCACCAGCAGAAGGCAGCTTCCTCGCTGGGTCCGCAGGCCACAGGCCTTCACGCTTGCCCCCACGCAGCATGTCCACAATGTGAAAGCTTTGGGGTTAAACTTCTGACCACAGGAGAGTCAGAGCTCCCTGGCTCCCCAATATCCTTCCTTGCGTTAGGCTCCAGGGGAGAATGTGCAGGCAGAAGTCAGGGCTGGTTCAGACCCACAGACCGTTCTTGCAGGGAGCAAAGATTTATTTTTTGGTGGTGGTAGTGACTGGAATCTTCTTGTTCTGTCACCTGAAAATCTCTCTCTCTCTCTCTCTCTCTCTCTCTCTCTCTCTCTCCCTCCCTCTCTCCCTCTCCCTTTTGGATTGATGGGTCGTTCCCTTTTGCATTTTCAACCCAGGCGTCTGATTACAAGTAAAGAGCCACTGAAGTTGATCTCATAAAAATGCCGCGAGCTCACTTTGATCAGCATGGACTGGGTCCGAGCCTAAGTAGGCGCTAAAGCCAGGGAATGGCGGCTCTGGCCAACCCGGCCTGTGTTTCCCGGCTAGGCGGGAGATCCGGGTGGCCCAAGAGGGCAATGTTGCCCAGAAAAGGTATTTTCTGTGGGGCCCCAACTGCCTTTGGAAAACTAAGGTCCAATGGGAGCCTCTCCATTTCAAACTGCTTTTAAGACATTTCCTTCATTTTAGAGCATTTGGTGAGGGGGGCAGTGAAATGGGGGCTCGTAAAATGGGGCTTTTATGGGGAGAAATAGGGTTGTTCTGCTAGTCTCCTGAGGGACAATCCCTCCCCAGAGGAAGCTGGGTGGGGTTGCAAAGGTGGAGAAGCTGCTGCCATTTCCCCTCCTATTCCCCCCCCATACCCTTCAGAGGCCTGAGGAACCTTGGAGTTGGGTCTATCAGCATAGGTGGCCTAAATTGGGGCCTTGAGCTTGAGCTTGCCATATTAACCAAGGCTTAGGAGAGGGTCAAACCACAGATTCACAGGCTCAGTGGTTCCCTGACTTGGGGTATGGTAGTGAGTATCCTGAGTGGAAAATAAACTGCTAGCTTTAAAATGTCAAAACATGCTAAAGGGTTTATTCTATGCAGCAATCTTGCTGTAAAGAGAGAAATATGCACAAGAAGGTGCAAGTTGATTTTTAATGAGGGCTCCTACTGGCAGGGATAGCCTGGGAAAAACTGTGGGTGTCCATGCGTGGGACTCCCTTTGCTTATCTTTTTATTGACTCCATGAGGGGTTGAATTTATAACCCAAGCCCACCAGTAATCTTACGATACTCTTTCTCCTCCCAGGGCTTTCTTCTTAGCTCATGGTCTGCAAGGTAGCCTCCTTCCCTGATCATGATCAACTCTCTGGAGCCCAGAGTAGCCGCAAGTCATAGATAAGCAAGGAGGCCCCAGTACTGTGCTCAGGAGGCTATGCTGCGCAGACAGCTTCTTCAGTAGATTCTGCCCCCTTCTGAAGCTCCCCTTATGGTCCCAGTATGGGAGGAAAGGGCAGTTGGTCATTGCCCTGGCCAGACTACTGAGATGGTTGCCTAGATGGCAGCTGCCTGCTAGTGCCTAGGATTGAGGCCACCAAGAGCCAGTGAGGAGGGTTAGAGGATTTCAGGTGAAAGCTGAGACTTTGGGCAATTGGCAGGGCCATAAGGGCCTCTTAGGTGAGGAGGATGGTGGGGAACCACCTTGAGTGGAGATCGCCAGGGAAGAGACTGGAGGCTAAGGATGAGTCCAAAAGTCGGGGAGACAAGCATTGCTCAGACGGAAGAGGGAGCAGCCTGAAGCAAGCAAGCTCAACTGAGGCTTTCAGGTGACCTGGAACCATGGCTAGACACATTATCTGCTATCCCATACCGTGAACTTTTTGCTAATGAACAATTAGCTGACCTCAGAAACCAGGGTCTTCTCTCCTTGATCCCAAAAGCAACCACCAGTTGCTAGGATTTTTTTTTTAGTTGTTGAAAAATTAAAATTCAAATACTAGAAAAAATACTTTTAAGGGGCAGAATATTACTGGTGGAAGGCTCCAAAGTTCTGACATTCTTTCCTGCCTTTCCTTTCTGTCTCAAAGAAATAAGACAGCCAACAGGTCCCTATAGCTGCCTGGCTCACTTTTATGGTGGCCCCGGAATAAACTTTGGTGGTCAAATTCAAGTGCTCAGGCCCACAAGCTGTCTCCTCACAGGAAGCAGCCCACCTACCCCACCCCCCACTTTGCCCTGGCTGTGCAAAATGTGTCTTGGGGGATTGGGCCCCATATTGACCAGTTTAGTAGGGGGAAAACAGAAGCTGGGACTCTGTTCTCATCCACCTCTCTGCAGGGATAGGGGTACCCCTGTCCTCCCGCTCACTGACTCCTATCGCTGTGTGGGGAGCATTTTGCCTCCAATAAATTCAAGTTTAATGAGGTCAGCGCAAACCCCATAAAAGCCACAGTCCATAGTTCCCCACCATTATAATTAAAAATGCTGCCCCCCAGCTCACCATATAAAACAAGGTTAGAGGAAAAGAGAAAATGCAACAGATTTTCCTTTTTGTGGTCCCTTCCCCAAGGAGAAGTTCCACACTTTAGCAAAGCCCCAATCTAGTTCCTTTTTGCATTCAGTTAAGATTAAGCCAGGACTAAATGAGGATTCAGGAAACAGTGCCTAGCATCCCGTGGGTAGAAGGCTACTTGAGGCCTCTCCCAGCATATTCCAGAACCATCCCCAACAATAATGCAAGGCTTGATCTATACAGACTCCACCCAGGTGTTGTTCTAAAGCTGAACAAATTTGGAGAGGCAGCGAGTGGCGGAAGAATGGACTTTAAAGGTTGTATTTGGAGATAACATACCAGTTTTGTTTCTTCCCTATCTGGTCCAGGGAGGCAGCTCAGCACTTCCACCATGTTTCAGCAAGGAAAAGCAAATTCAAATAATTTGAGAGTGGAAACCAACTTTAGCAAAGAGATAAAGGAAGGTTCACTTTTTTTTTCCTTTTCCTGCGAGTGCAGTGGGTTGAATTCTCGGAGGCTTCAGCTCTTTCTTCTCTAACAATTCATATCCTGGGAGCCCCTCCTTAGGACCAAGATCGCTTTCTGCTTATGTCGGTTGGTCTGGCATCCCTATCATGGAGCCATGAGTCCCCTTAGCCCTCGTCCAAAACCTTTCAAGAAAGTGATTTTGTCAGCTTCCCAGATGTGTGTTATGATCTGAAGAAGAATAGGAGGCAAAGGAGGCTGAATCATTGAGTCTACTCCTAGGGCCACAGGCATCCAGAAGACTGACAGACTTGAAGGAGAGCAGAGACAGGTCTGAGATTCAGGGAGGTACTAAGGTCTGACTGCAATTCCAGAAAGAGGTCTGGGGACTTCCACTAGGAAGTGACTCCTGGCCCTCTCCCTTTCCCATCTCAGGGTCTACAGCTTCTTCCCACTCTTCAACTAGTTTGTGCTGGAAATCCATGCATACCTGATCCTCCAATCACCTCAGCTTTCTAAATCATTTAAAGACAGGAGCCCCAAACCGTGGTATCTCCCCTTTTATATTCTGTCCTGGGCCCCAATACCAGGTTTCTTGTCAGCTTACTAGCTTACTAGTTGAGGCTAAACCCTCAACCCAAAAGGGCCAGAATAGAGAGGATACATATCCCAATCTTTTTCTTTGAGGCTTGGGATTTACAAATCCACAGTGGATGTAGCTTTCTGCACATTGATTGACAATAAAGGCAGGCATGAAATATTCACCCAGGGCCACTCTCTCATACTAAATATTTAACACAACATTAGAGAAGGTTTTTCCCAGACTTCGCCAGGCACCGGCTGGGCGGCTGGCGCACTGCTCACCACTCGTTTATGACTAATCGAGTCCCTTGCCGGCGGCAGCAGAGCAAGCCAAAGTTGGGACACTGGCTTATAGCTAAACTGCCTCACCTTTGGGAAACTTCAGCTACTCTTCCCGGGAGACTCTCTAAAGACAAACCTAAAAGGGAGCTCACCCAGCTCTAGCCAGAAAATAAGCCACTGGACTTCTTCAAACTCTTAAAAACAGGCGCTGACTTTGCGGGTTTGGAGGGGTAAGAGTCCCTGAGAGTTGGGGGTGGGGGGGGGCGAAGAATTCATTATTCTGGGTGAAGCAGACTGTGGGTAAAGAAGTCCTTGCTTTTACCGGAGTCTGGTACTGATCACCAGGAAGAGGCAAGACCTCTATCCTGAAAACTTCCCTCCTTTCCCCAATCCTAGGGGAAAAAAAGAGCAGCAGCTAGAAAAAAAATACAATTACCCCCTCCCAACCACCGCCCCCGCCCATCCCACCGCCCACCCCACCCCACCCAACCCTCTCTCTCTCTCTCTCTCTCTCTCTCTCTCTCTCTCTCCTTCTTTGCTCGCTCTGTGGAATGGAGAGGAGGGGAGTGAGGAGAGAAAAACGAATACAAATCTGCAATTGATTTTCATAATGTTTCTGCGGTGTTTGCAAACCAATCGCCTGAACGTCCCCGATCTTACCTAAGAGAGAGAACCCCTCCTACGTCTGCGAAGTGCTCCGAACTGATATATGACAATATCTACTTTGGATCACGTGCTCTCGGGAAGAGAAGACTACTAAGACGGATAACGCGTCATCTCGCCTTCCCAAATTTTTTTCTCCCCCCCTCGCTAGACCGGGTCCAAAACCCTTCCAATCCGGAGCAGGGCAGGGAGAGGAGAACGATGTTTAACTCGGTCAACCTGGGCAACTTCTGCTCGCCGTCGCGCAAGGAGAGGGGCGCTGACTTCGGCGAGCGAGGGAGCTGCGCCTCTAACCTCTATCTGCCCAGTTGCACTTACTACGTGCCCGAGTTCTCCACGGTCTCCTCCTTCCTACCCCAGGCCCCCTCTCGTCAGATCTCCTATCCCTATTCGGCCCAAGTGCCTCCAGTCCGGGAGGTCTCCTACGGCCTGGAGCCATCCGGCAAGTGGCACCACCGGAACAGCTACTCTTCCTGCTATGCGGCTGCCGACGAGCTTATGCACCGAGAGTGCCTGCCACCTTCCACCGTCACTGAGATCCTCATGAAAAACGAAGGCTCCTACGGCGGCCACCACCACCCCAGCGCCCCGCATGCTGCCCCCGCCGGCTTCTATTCCTCCGTCAACAAGAACAGTGTCCTGCCCCAAGCCTTCGATCGTTTCTTCGACAACGCCTACTGCGGTGGCGGAGATGCGCCCTCCGAGCCCCCCTGCACGGGCAAGGGTGAGGCCAAGGGGGAGCCCGAGGCGCCCCCGGCCTCGGGACTGACGTCCCGGGCTGAGGCTGGTGCTGAGGCCGAGGCCGAGGAGGAGAACACGAATCCCAGCTCGTCTGGTTCGGCCCACTCGGCGACCAAGGAGCCGGCCAAGGGAGCCGCCCCCAGTAGGTAGCAGCGGCCGGGAACCGGCGGGCAGCGAGGGAGGGAGGAAGGGAGGGAGGGCTAGAGTAGGGGTGGGGTGTGTGTGGAGGGGGGGGTAAGGCAAAAGGGAGCAGGGACAGCCTCATGTTTTGGGTCAGTCCGATTTTATGTGGAGTTTTATAAGCATTCAAAGGATTTTATTATAACCTACAAAGCCCTCTCTCCCAACGACTCGACTTTTTTACGATGGAGAAGGGGTGGGGAGGGAGGGAAAAGGGATCTTTGGAAAAGCCGGGTGACCCCCCCCTCCCCGCCTCCTCCCCCGTTATCTCCCTCGGTCTGTGAAATTTTTAAAAGTGCCACCATTGCGGGCGATATTAACTTTGATCGTGAACTTAGAGGATCATTTAAGGAAGGATGGGGAGCCGGGCTGCCAGAAGGGGTGGGAGGGAGGGGAGGGGTGGAAGGGGGGGAAGGGGAGGGCGAGGGAAAGACGTGAAGAAACCCAGTGAGGGGGGGAAGAGGTGGGGGGGGAAAGCTGTGGAGCACAACTTGAGACACCCCCCCCAAACACACACACCCAGCAAAGAGGCGAACCTAGGCTGTTCTACTTCTTTTTGAAACTATGTTTGAAAATGTGCAAACTATGCGTTTGTGGATCTTTGAACAGAGAAATCTGAGCCGCGGGGCGGGTTAGCGGCGACCGGGGAACCGGGAGAGGCGGATCGGAGCTGCGCTGCGCTCCAGGCGGGGGTCTCCGCGTCGCTCCTCGGTCTGCGGCCTCAGGGCCCGACCGTAGCCAGGCAGGCAGTGTGCGTACCAGGCGCGGCCGGGGTAGGCGGGCGTCCCGGGGCGCCAGAGCCCCCCCAAGCCCCCAATTTTAAAAAGAGAGTGTCTTTTAAGTGTCTGCTCGCGGGTCTCCTCCTCCTCTGGTCAGATCTCACTTCTTCGCGCCGGTTTTCCGCGGTCCCCAACCCCCTCCCCAACCTCGATGTCTGGGGTGGGGAGAGGGTAGTTGGGCTTTCATAACCACTAGGAGGGCGGCTGGGGAAGCGCGGAGAACCGTAGGGGCACGGGCCAGGCCCAAAGGGAAGCACAAGGCCCCGCACAGGCTCTCCTTCCTCTCCCCCTTCCCCCCCCCCCCAGATCTGTCAGCTAAAGCTCCAGCCTTGAGGGGGAGGAGGCTCAGAGTTGCTCAGTGCTCCCCCCCACCCAAGCTAAACATGGCAAAGGGGGTCGAGGCCTGCTCTCAGCGCCGCCCGGGCCTGCAGGAGAGCCGCCAGCCAGGCGGGAGGGCGGCCTGGAGGATGGGGCTGGGAGAACGGGGAGAAGGGCCGCTGAGCGCTCAGCGGGGCTGGGGTCGCCCAGGGTCTCACGTGTCTCTCTCCTCCTCCCCCCCCTCTCCTCGCACTTGCCCCCTCCCCTCCCTCCAGACGCCCCCCGCACCCGCAAGAAGCGCTGCCCTTATTCGAAATTCCAGATCCGGGAACTGGAGAGAGAGTTTTTCTTCAACGTGTATATCAACAAAGAAAAGCGGCTGCAGCTGTCCCGGATGCTGAACCTGACGGACCGACAAGTGAAAATTTGGTTTCAGAACAGAAGGATGAAAGAAAAAAAACTGAGCAGAGATCGGCTGCAGTATTTTTCAGGAAACCCGCTGCTGTAACTGCAGACCGAGCCTTTTTCTTTTCCTTTTTTCTTTTGGAAGGGGGGTAGGGAGCAGAGAGGGAGGGAGAAGGGGGAAATTATTTTATTTTATTTTATTTTTTATTTTCTAACTCGTCGTTTTTTTTTGTTGTTGTTGTTTTTTTCCTTCCCGCGGGTGGAAAACTGGACTATGGCCAGGGCTGGCACTCACTGCCCGTGATTGGCATTCTCTCCAGGAACCCCCTTTACCTTGGGATCTGACTCTCAACTATAGAAACAGAGACCCGGCTGGAAAAGGAAGGGAGGAGGGATGAACGGAAGTGTCTGACCCACGGCGAGTGGATCCCGTTGGCGCGCCGAGACCCCAAGACTCTTTATTTAAAAGAAAACACACCTTGCGACAAAGTCTTGCTGCTCGGATTGGGTGGGGGAGGGGCGGGCCTTTGGGCGCCTGCCTGGGCGCCTGAGCCCAAACAATCCTTGAACTAGAAACCTTCCCTTACCCAAGTGAAAAAAAGATTCGCTAAGACACCTTGTTTGCGCCAGAGGAGACCCCTCGGGCGCCCTGCCCTGACTCCCACATGCCCCTCTGCTAATGGGGAGGGGGGCAGCTAAATGTGATCCTGCCTTGCTGTGAAATTCTTGTACCTTTGACCTGGTGTTAGGTGTGCAAAGTCTGTGTCCTACCTCCGTCTGCGCCCTGGCCCCGCCTGAGCCTCCTCGAGCCCTCTTTAAAAAAAAAATCATAATTGGTGCGTTGTCTTAACCTTTTAAAGCAGTGCCCCCCCACCATGGATTTACAGCTAGTCTATGCAGTTGTTACCTCCTTAAAAAAAAAAAAAGATTGGGGTGGAGGAAGCAATAGGGAGATGGGATTGGGGAGCCTCCCCCTTGCTGGGGCCGGACATTTTTTTTTGTAAATAAATTTCATAAGTATTTCTTTCTATCCTGAGAGGATGGGGAGGACCCTCTGGAATGAGATTCAGATACCCCATCTCTCTCCATGTGTGTGAGTGCGATGTGTACGTGTGCAATCCCCACCCTGCTCCTGTCCCAGAGGGATTGCTGTGATTTTTTTTCCCCGTGGCAAATAAAGAGATTTCATTCTGTTCAATATTATGATTTTATTTGACCTTTTTATTAACCCCTCTCCTCTTAAAACCCTCCATGCTCCTAGGTGGAAGAGGAGGAGGAGGAGGAGAAGGAGGAGGGGGAAGAGGAGGAGGAGGTGGAGGAGGAGGAGGAGGAGGAGGAGGCAGGAAGCAGGAGGCAGGAGGCATGAGAACCCAGCCAAGGAGGACCCTCTTTCAGAGGTGAGGTAGGCCAGAGCTGGCCAACCTGGAGTTGCTCTCTCCACTGGCAGGGCTAACAGTGAGGCAGCAGCTTGTTCCTGTAGTTTTATAAGGGAAGGATATTCCATGGCTCCTCCTGAGCTCTCCTCTCTCACGTGCAGCTCGAACTGAGTCCAAATGCCCAGCAAAGCTTTCCGTTTAAGTGAACATTTGTTGTGGAGTTAATTGTAACCATCATCAAATTTAAATTTATAGGAATTTTCTTGGCTCCACCACCCTCCTGCCAGATGTCTCCGTCTGTCTATGTTAAATGCGTAGGGTTGAGGGTAAGGCTTTCTCGCGCCTCTCTCCCCCCACCCCTCACTCCCTCCTGGAATTTTAATATACAGTTTGGAAGGAAGGAGGAGAGAAGAGGGGAAACTAGTCCCTTACTTTTCTCCTTTGCAGCCCCTCAGGGTGGGGAGAGGGGGTGCTTGGCCCCTTCTCCTTTGGCACAAATGGCCAGGCTCCTTCAGACACCACAGACACCGAGGCTGGGGCCACCCTGATGTTTATACTTTAGGTGTCCCAGAATAGAAAGCTTCAGAGATGTGTTTTGTAGGAACTGACATAAAGTAGGGCACTGGGGAAGGAGGTGAGCTGTAGGGACTGTCAATACACCAGTCTGTATCTACTGCATGTTTCTTCTGTGTAAAGATTAATGTGGTCCTTTTCACACTTCTAGTGAAGGAAACTTGTCAGTCCCTGTTCAATATTCGTTGTTTGAGGGCAGAGGTTCTGGACTGATTCTCTCATCTCTCCCCCTCTTGGTTCTTGTGTGATTTAAAATGTTTTGTCATTGCAGTTCTGTGGGATGGAAGGAAAAAGCACTGAGGCCATTGAGCCTGTTTTTGATGACAGGGGTCTTTGCAGCTGAGGTATCTGAATCTTTATTTGTAAATGTGAGTCTCTAAGACAAAATTTGTCAACACAAGCATTGTATTATTTAAGGCAGTGTACCTAGGTGTGTATGTGAGGAGGAATCTTGTTTGCACGCTTTTGCCTGTAGTGGAATACATTTGATCACATATACATCTACAGTACGCATCCTGCATATGGTGTAACCACTGGCAGTGTTTATTGAGTGTGGTCAGCAATTGAGGGTCCTCTCTGTGTGCAGAGAGACACACATACATGTTTCTAGGTATGATGTTTGCCCACTAGCGGGCCGTCTCGCGGCCATGTTTCCTCTTAAATGACATGGTGATAACTCGATAGAATAAACCAGCTTATAAAGGAAACTATTAACCTCCAAAAGGCTTTGGATTTTGAAGAAAAATATTTTAAACCCGGCAGGTCCATTTTCCCTGCATTGTGTGGCCCAGAAAAGACCTTCAGATACAGAATATCCTGAAGGATAAGAGTCATAGTGCAAGAAAAACAATTACTTTCTGTGACCCAAGCCCAAGAACCTGCCATTCTTTGGTGACCTTCTAAAAGGTGGGGGAGAGGACCTGTGGCCCCCCAACCAATCCACCTTCAGCCTCTAGGTATGTCCAGCCCCCTTTACTGTCCAGGGACACTCTGGGCTCAACCTCTTGGGGTAATCCCCTCCAGCCGCAGCGCTGCCTGGGAACAAAAGATCTTCGTCTAGACGCCGCCATAAAGTGCCCCCCGCGCCTCTAAACCCAGTTTCATTTCGCCCTTAACGACCCAGTCTGGCCTGTGTTAGAAAACGCTTCCGCCCTAAATAGTAAACAAACTCAACAGTGGATGGTCTCGCTCTCCCAGCACACCCCAGACCCCCTCCCACCCCATCATCCCTTTACCCCCACATTTTCCCTCTTTTCCTCTAGCCTTTCTTAGCTCCCAGCTCCCCACCCCACCCCCAAGTAAATAAACCAGAGGCCGAGTTCAAAGTTTCCCGGAGCTGAGGAGGAATGTTGGTTGTAAAAATCCAAGCTTATAGCGCACGTGGGAGTTTACAAGGGTATTAAGTGGTGTGGGCTAAGAGAGCACTCTGGGCCCCACCCCCTCCCACTATGGGCTTTGGGGGTGCAAGGGAAGCCAGGGGTACTTGACTTGAGAAGTGGTTTTGGTATAGCCTTGGATTTGGAATTTCTTTGTTACTCCGACCCTGGGTCTGAGTATCTGCTAGGGAAGATAGCAATGCAAGGATTCCGTGGAGGTGGGCTCCTAACACCCCGTTGAATGCTCTAACAGAGCGTTCATGGGTTCTAGATGCCCCCATATGGAGGGGTTGGGGAAGTTTGGGAGGAGCAAAAGAAAAGGTACAGACCTGGTGTGTGGGCAGACTTACAGTTGCCTTCAGCCCCTGAAGCAGAGGGGAAGAGACCACCTTTGAACCAATTTCTCGAGTGGACTGAGAAAAGAAAGGGCTTTTCTCACCAGGCCAAAGAAGAACTTTGAACTTCAAGAGAGTCAAGGGCACCACCCCTTCCTCCCTCCCCACCTCAGGAATCTGGAGGGCAATTCCTTCTAGGCCAATATTCCCTGAAGGGGGCAATCTCGGGGTTTCTAGGAGTTCTAGGGCTGGAGAGGGCTCTTGGCTCAACCCTCCCTGCTCAGAGCCTGCCAGAACACTGTGCACGCGACTATACTCTTTATTATTCATATAAACCTTTGCAAAAGGCAACGCCTGGGAAGTTTTTATAACTTTGTTTGGCATAAAAAGTTTTACAAGATTCCCCCTCCCTTAAAAAAAAAGCTTAAATGTTTAGGTTGTGCCATAGGATGAGATCTCTTGAAAGAGGAACAAGAGGGGTTCTGGAGCTCTATTTTGTGGGTGTAACCTCTCTTTGCTGAAAGCAAAAAGGCTTGGATTTCGGCCAGTCCTTTTTGAGGTTCACCTTGGCTTTTGGGGGCTGCCAGCGACCAGTGGCTTCAGGCCTTCAGGGCAATACTGTGTACTATGCATTTTATAAATCACCAAAGTTTGTACAATGCCAGCCAGGACCATCTCATTCTCTTATTCTCCTCCAGCAGGCTCTCTCTCTCTCTCTCTCTCTCTCTCTCTCTCTCTCTCTCTCTCACACACAGAGCCCACTGCATAGAGTGGAGAAGTCCTATAACCTTGACCCAGACTGCTGATTTTGGAGGGTTTCTCAACACATAGCCCTGAACCCCTGTCGCCTGTAAAGTAAAAAATGGGTGTGAAGAAACAGTCCAAAATGCCAAGAAACTCTTGCCCAGAGTGCACAGTTGTTGCGGAACCCAAAGAGACAGAGGCCAGCAGGGTTGCAGTCTAGGAACACAGAGAACAAAGGTACTCATGTTGAGGACATGGCCTTTGGGCTGCCAAGCCCACAGATGACCCCTTCAACTTGCCCTCCACTTCAACTGACAGAGCTCAGTTCCCTCATTTCCTCTGGCTCCAGTCTTGAGGGCACCAAGCTGAACTTTGGCAAATTTAGCCTTTAGCTTAGGAGTCAGAATCAAGATGAGGGGACTGTTTCTAAACGCAGGCCTAGTGGACAAAGCTCCTCTGGTATGAAGGAAAAGAAGATACCTGACCTCTGGAACCTGGCACTTCAAGGAAGCCATCAGAATTTGTAGGGATGAGCCCCAGAGCTGGTTTTTCCTTCCCATTAATGGCGACTGCTCAGGCCTGACTGCTGGCTGCCGGCCCACTGGAAGTTGTATACCTTGCCTTGTGAGGCTGAAGGCAGAAGGTCAACTCCAAGCCTGAGCAGCCAGGATGGGGAAGCGTGTGACGGAGCCGGCTGTT